CTTCTGGATTCTTACATGTACTCCATAACATTCTACGATATTATGTTATAAACAGCTGGCGATACGATGCTATATACAATATTAAGCTATGAAAAATTACATTATACCATATATTACATCTATATTGTGTCATATTGTATACATTACATTGAATTATACTACATTTGACAACATTTTAGCACGGTATAATACATGATATTTTAGCACTATATGCTATGCTATACAGTCCACTATACTATATTCAACCTATACAGTACTGCACACTGCTATGTACTACATACTAATACTATATACTAAGATACTACATACTACATACTATAGGCTATATAGTATATACTAGATACTATATACGATATACTGTATACAATATACCTATGTATTATACACTACCCACTATCCACTACCCACTATATACTACATACTATATACTACATACTATATACTGTATACTATATACTGTATACTATATACTATGCACCATACACTATCCACTATATGTTATATATTAAATACTATATGCTATATACTATATGCCATATACCCTGCACTACACTAAATTCCGGCATTCTATACAATATTTTATGTTCTATTCTGTTACAGTAAATGCTATGTTTCATTACATCATACTATATGATGCTGGTATATTATGTTAGAATATACGCTACAATGCAATGCAACACTATACCATATTAATCATACTACAGCATACCATACTATAGCATACGATATTACGGTATACTTCAAACGTATTTGGTCATGCTTCAATATACTACGTCTTGATATGGACTCTCGCGACTCGGGCGATGCAGGGGAATTATTATACTATACGATGCTCTGCTATGCAATACTATACGTTCCATACTACACTATACTGTATGTCTCATGCTGAGATGTACATATCATACTACAACATAGATCCAATTATATGTTGTTATGATACATTATGTTAGGTTAGATTGGGTTAGGCTAGATTCTCTTTTACTATACTATACTATATGCTAAACCTAATACTATCCCACATTCGCTCATATTACATTAGACTCCAGGCTAGACTGGGTTCTATTCTGTTCTATTCTATTCCATTATAATATCATACCGTATTTTATCATGTAATGCCATGTTCCAGCATATTGCGCTGACAATAAGTTCCTCGGGCATTATGCCCGGATCCGAATCGACAGTAACCCGAGCCCCGACTCCCTGACCCTGCCAATCTTGAAACTTTGAAGCCTGCCCCCCCAAGTTGCCAAAAAGTGTCAAAAGACTGTGCCGTCCTCACCCGTTGTAGCTGAATGCAGACAGTCTCTTTTAATCATTGGCATCACCCTACCTCATCCGAGCCATCGTCGTCGCCATAAGCCATAACATACACCGATGCCGTCATCATCACCACCATTAGCATCTCACCACCACCACCACTACCACCAGCACCAGCACCAGCACCACTGTCACCGCCACCAAAAATACCACACTATCCTGACCATCAGCATTACCACAGTCCGAGTATTCACCGTCAGCACCAGCAGCATCACTGGTAAGCTTCATCTTGTAAAATAAGCATCGCCATCACAGTCATCACGATCGCCAATGATGTGTTTCCAGGGGCAAACACTGTTCCGGGCCTGTCCTTCGGATCACATGGGACTTTCCTGCAATGAAAATGATTGACCACCATGACACCAGCTTTATGTTCAGTGAAGATATTAGTCACGAAATCCTGAAATGTTCAATGCAGGCCTAAGCTGTGCTCGTCTGCCCTTACGTGTCACCCTACGACCTGAAACGGAACAAATCGTATTTCCGGGTCTTGGTGGCTCTTTCTGCCCCACTCTTTGCCGTAACAGATCGTACGGCCCGGTCTTGGTGGTTCTTTCTGGCCCACTCTTGGCCGTAGCAAATCGTACTCCCACGTCTCGGCGGCTCTTTCTGGCCCACGCTTGGCTGTAACAAATCGTACTGGCGTCTTGGTGGCTCTTTCTGGCCCACTCTTGGCCGTAGCAAATCATGCTCCCGGTTCTTGCTGTGTTTTTCTGGCCCACTCTTAGGCGTAGCAAATCGTACTGCCGGGTCTTGGTGGCTCTTTCTGGACCACTCTTGGCCGTAACAAATCGTACTCTTGGCCGTAACGAAACGGGCCAGCTGAGAATCGGTTCTATATTCGACGCTGAAACTTTGGATTTACATGGCAACCCCAATTTCTCAAGTATTGAGATGGGCCTGGCTACAAACTGGCTCATGCCTCGACGAAACCTCATGCACATGGCTTTCGCGCTTCGCTTTTTTGCCCACGCTTCGTCACCAGCGCAGAAGCATCACGAGCGTAGCCGAGCTCGGCACGGACGCCGCGATAGGGAAAGACGGAAAAGTTATCGCTGTGTCCCAGTCTGTGCATCTGGTCACTGGTTGATCAGCTCCCTTGGAGCCACATCTTGCTGAAAGCAGGGCACTTCCAGGGCAGCTCAGGGGGAAAGAGATGCAGTGCAAAATTCCAAGACCCCCCAGCAGGCTGCCCCCTGCTAAAAGACTGCACTGGGAATCCAGCTTCACGGAAAAAATGTCCTGCTTGGCGACATGGGAGCTCAGCACTAGAACCCTTACTATTCTGTAAAGATACTAGCATCCTCAGAACGTAACCCCCCGACACTCCAAGCTTCAAAGGCTTTGATAGGCAGGAGCGTTGCCTTCGAGAGACAGCTCGGCCGAGTCTCCGAGCCCAAGAGAGGGTAGCTTTAAATTGCATTTTTTGGAACATGAATCTGCGACTTGGGCTCGGGTTCGAAAAACATCGTTTGGCGTTGGGCCTCGTAGGTCTGTCGGGGATTGTCAGGGTGCTGCACACCCGAAGCAAGGCAGGGCCTTCCGGTCCAGTCGCTGACGTCCGAAAAGCATTGCCGAAGAATGCAGCTGTGGGAAGCGCCGAGGGCATGAAATTACAGTGAGACTGTTGTGGCAACAATAGGCCGGAACCTGCTGGGATTTCGATTCGCACACTCGCACAGGAGGGAGCACCCCTGCTGGGATTGAAGTGCTGTGTTTTCCAGAGGCCGGTCAAAGGCTCTGCCTTGCCCGGGACGCCCCTTGCTAGCACACTCGGTGGCCTAGCTGGCAATCCGCACCACGAAAAGGATGTCTTGGAGTCTTGAAGCAAAGCTCGCTGGAAGTATCCATACGAGCATCCAGATTCTACGGCACGGTGACAACATTTTCTGGCATGTGCGGCCTCCCTAAGAAAGCGAAACCCTACCTGCGAAGCCGCAAACTCTGGTGGAGAACGTAGCTCATCCTTTCAGACCCTATGCGAGAAACAGCTGCACCGGAATCCACTGCCTGCTGCATCATACCTGCACGACGAACACACCCCGCTGCGAGTTGCGACCTTCCAACTTTCAGAACAGAGCTGTAGCCGAAGAGCCGTAGACTTTGGAGCTCGAATGACACCACCGAACGGGACGAGCCAGACACGCCACATCATCAGAAGCGGCTTGTGTCAAAAAACACAGGGTTTCAGATCCTACAGCCCTGGCCTGGCCCTGCACTGCCTTCTGACAGGGTCTCGGCGCTCACAACTCGGACAATCCAGGCGAGTCGTATGGTTACTTGATCGGTAAGGTTAGAGTTCACGATTCCGCTTCTCCAACCGATTTGGAGCAAAATCCTGTGGCTCAAGAACCGTGAATCCTGAAGCTCTGAACTGTCAAGACTCTAACTCAACACAAAAAAATTAGAACATG